GGCTGAGAATGGGAGTTAAGAGTCTGAGAGAGCTGCCGGAGAATTTTCCACACATGATCCCAGGCACAGACCTTTTACTATAAAACATTAGAGCAGTCAATGGCTCATAGGAGTCCTGTCGACCTGTGAGGGCTTGACTTGATTAAGAAGTGGAAAAGTCTGGAGGGAAAAAGTCTGACTCCATAAAGATGGATTCCCACTTTGATGAGGTTTAGTGAGTTAAACCGCGGTTAAAAACAAATAAAATTCTGGACAAACTGTTCTTATGGAAACAAATTAAACAGATAAAATGATGGAAACCGTGTAACTGTCCAGAGCTTTTGTTTAGGGCAACAATAGAAATCAGCAACAGACCAGAGAAACGGTCAGAGAACTGAATCTAAACTATTTCCTCCCAGTGAACGTCCATAAAAAGCTGACATTTCTAAAAGAAATTCATACATTTACTTCAGAGGAATACACTGACTTGTGTGGAAAGTAGATGTAGATCTACTGCATACAGAAGCTACAGTCCTCTGGCTAATGAAGAGGATAATAAGATCAGCAAGTTAGACCCTGTAAAGCTCATCAGTTAACACTCTGGGTCTGAAAATGGTAATTTAACATTTCTTTAACTGTTTATGTTTCTTTGGGCAGGAGGAAGACGAAGAAATGTGGACGGACTTCTTAATTAGCAGCTCCTGGTTTCATGTTGCGGTTATTTGAGATCCTTTGGGAACAAACTGTTCTAAGTAGTGAAACTGATGAACTGGGACAAGAACCTGTTTGCTTTCACTGCAGATTGAAAGGTTCAAACGAATCAATGGAAAGAGACCAAACCACCTCAGAAAACCTGAGCTTCACTTTAAATTTGCTCTTCTGCTTTTATACTTCTAACGAATCCCTAATTTTAAACAGAAGCTGTTTATACGACCTACTTTTTGTTGACATTCATCTTATTAGACGCTGGTTTCAGTCAAAGAGGCAGGGTTGGTCCCAAACATTTCCTTATTTGGTCAGCTAAACATTTTTTTCCTAACTGTGTGAAATATTCAGTCGGAGTAATTTATAAGACACCAACCGCATATTTGCCCCAAGCAGTTCTAGTATAACATTTCTGTAGATCTTTCTTAGAAAGGAGCAATATTTTTCCATTATGTTACAGTTTAAAGATGATTCCCATGATAAAACTCAGTCAGTAATCATAAAAAATAAATACTGAATAATCAACTTTACTATCCTGCATTTTCACATAATCACTGCAATAAATACCAGCAAGTATTTACATTAATGCTGCCTTCATGTGGTATCGTAATTATGCAATGCAAAAAATCTACATCTAAATAACAAATTTTTTCTTAAATCAAGTAGATTTTTTCTTGAATTGAGGAGCTAAGTGAGACATTTTGCTGAAGGAACAAGACAATTTACATTTAAAATAAGAAAAAAACAATTGCATTGTCATACTTCAAGTGCTTATTATCTTATTTTAAGAGTTAAAAAAAATCCCCATTGGCAGATCATCTTATTTACTTCATCAACTTAAGGGTAAACACACAATTTAAGAAATATTTACTTATTTCTAGATGGTATTTGCAGTGTGGTAAATATAAAAAACCTGCGTATGAACGAACACTCATGTGATTTCCACTGGAAAGCTGGAAATTGTGATATCTGAGTTGCTGAAATGAGGTCAACTTTGACCTCATAACATGGCAGAGAGTGTCGATCCGATTCTGTATGGGGAGTAGAGAATTTTAAAATGAACGTCATTTGATTTTATAAATTTCTAGCTAGCAGTCAGTCGATGCCTTTGGTGCATCTCCTTCCTGCAGCAGATGAACTAGGAAGTCTATATGTGTCTTGCCGATGCAGCAGGTCAGGATAATCCACCATGTTTCTCTACTTTAGCACATTCCCAGAGCACATGAAAGCAGCATTAATCACACCTTTAATTTAAGTCATCCCGAATATTTGCACAGAGGTTTATTCTGTAACTTTGAATCTGCCTCCAGTGCTGGTCCTTTTCCATTAGTAGCCACCTGGTGACCTTCTGTGTGGCTTAATGAAGCGTTTGGGCTTTTCCAGTATTGGCATCGATGTGAAACTGTTACTGCTTATAGTACCTGCCTGGATTCGTTTCCAATTGTCTGAATCAGAATGCATCGTCAGGAGCCTGCGCAGTGGGAGTCACTGATTAGCAGCATAAACACCGTGATGTATATTCTGCACCAAAATCTAAAGACGAGCTAAAAAATTAGACAAATTTGCACTTTAAGAAGATTCCAACTGGAAATTTACCAAGTAGAAACAGGAGCAAGAGGAAAAAAAAAAAAAACTTCTGAGTGATTTATTGAAAACAACAATTTGAACTAGGCTGTTCATCAGTTTAGGTTCCAGGTCCTTTTTCGGCCATTTATCACAGTGTTATAACCTCATGAACGTAAAGCTCCCCGACTCTGAAGGCTGTCGGATACTCGACTCATATTGTCAGCCTCTTCAGATGTGCCGCCGATTGCTGCTGAGATTGCAAGTGGAAAACCTTTCTGTGTTACGGAAAGGTTTAGTGGTAGAAGCCAAATCATTTCAGAGGTGCAGAGCCGATTGATTTGCAATCAAGACAAGGGAAGGCCCTCCATCCCAATTAAGGCTGTTACTTTGCGAGCTGCAGCCAAAAAACAGACTGCATCTCCAATGGAAGCAGGGTTTATACAAGAATGAGGAATTCTGAATTAATGCCATCAATATATATATATATATATTATATATTTTTTTTTTTATTTATTTTCCCTCCGCCTCAAGCTTCTTTTCCAAACATCCAGCTACAATCAACCCGAAGCAGTTCCATGCAAATATATCGCGATATAATATATTTTTTTTATAATTGTTTTTTTAAATTAAGCATTTTAAATGCCACGATAATAACATTTTATGAACTTTAATGCCAATTAAGGCCTCAATTTCAAAAATAATCATGACTTTCAATGATTTTTTAATGACCCGCAGAAACCCTGGGAAGGCTTCAAAGATAAAAATCTCCATCAAACTCCAAGTTTTCTGACTTTTTGTTATTTAAATGTGTTGTTTTTTCTAATCTTTGGTGTCAGACTTTTATCAGCTGATAAACAGCTTGTTTCCATTTTAACAAGTTGCTTCCACATGACGTCACTTAGCAGATGGAGGACAGGAAGTAAGGTAGCCTTGGATCTGCCTGTTTTGTGCTGCTCCATTCAGAGTAAAAGGGTTATTATTGGATGTCTAAGGTTTTCTTTCATTGTGGTGAAGCTGCCGACAACCAATTATCATATTTATATAAGCGGCTACTTTTTTCCCACGCTTTGAACCTGCGGCTTGTAAAAACGTGCAGCTTTTCTGTGGATTTTTCCTAACTGCCAGAGGGGGAAGTCAAAGCTGGGAATGAAAGAATAAGGGGCTAATTTTAATTTAGCACATGGACATGCTAGCAGCAGGCATAACGGAGAACAAATGTCCCGAATTCAAACATTTTGACATTTATTTGCAGCATTAAAGCTGCTGAACAAATGAAGAGACTGGGCTCAACTCCTGCAAAGCGGAAATAAAGAGCCAACGAAGCTCCGTCTTTCAGTAGAAGCTCTTACTGCTGAGAGCTAACAAGCTAATGGGAGCTAGCATTCTTCTTCGTTCCTACTCCAGGGTCTATATGTAGAGCTACAGGTCCGCCTACAGGTTTGGTGGGAGACAGTTTAGTAGATATCAGCGACTTATAGCCCAGTGCGGCTTATATGTTTCCAGTTTGTTTTTTTGTGGGCGTGGCTTATAGTGAGGTGCACTTTATAGTCCGGAAAATACGGTATTCTACCCAAACCTTCTAGGCTTTTATCTGCTGTTTGGGGGTAACAGGATGAAGGACCTGGTACTTTAAGTTATCTATGGCTTTATTTGGCAAATCTTGAGGATCTGTTAAAAACTAACCTTGATTACATATTAGGGCTGGGCGATATAGAAAAAAAGCTTATCGATAAAAAAAAATAATTATTGAAAAGATTTGAAACCATATTTTATGTGCAGCTCTGCCTGGACTTTTTATAATATTGCTAAATGATTGAATTTTAATAAAAAACACTTCGACTTCGAATTAAATCTTTATTTAACCAACTTTTTTAACCATAACAGAATTGTTTTAAAGAAAAATAACTTAAGAGACCTGAGTTATGTTATTAAATACTGACAAAGAATAAACTAAAGTGACCAGAAAAGTAACTAAAATAAATATAACAAATAAATAAATGCCCCCCCCACCGCCGCCCCCGTTTCCTGCTTTAACCTGAGTTATTACTTTGAAGTTTCTTGCCCCTCAGCATTTTTATCTCGATTGTTAGAACTAGGTGGGAAACTGCCCAGAACTGAAAATATATATATATTTTCCGAAGATTCCTCGGAGGAGAGCCGCGTCGGGGCCTACACAGCTCGTACTCCTGCGGCTGTGAGCGGCTGAGATGATAAAAAAAAAGTTGGTTTCGTTATCAGACTGGTTTTCACTGGTTCCCGACACATTTTCTAGATGACTGTGGTTTGTTTTTGGTCCGACTTGCCATGACCGAAATACTGCCAGACTGCCGAACTACAAAAATCTTTCTTTGAAACAATTTCCTCCGCCTCTCCTTGCTGCACAGCTTCATGTGCTCTGTGTTGAGGTTTGAGAGGGCGGCGCTTGGTGACGGCGTGCCTGGGTCCGCGATTGTGATTGGTTGGGAGGAAGCAGTGACTAGCATAAACCTACATGCTAGGCTACAATGAGAAGGAAGGAAAACTGCGTTTCTTTTTTATCGAACTTTTATCGACCCTCTTTTTTTCTATTGCGCCACACGTCTATCGATCGATATATATCGTTATTGAATTATCGCCCAGCCCTATTACATATTAGGAAACATCACAACTATCATTTGTACGTATTTGCATGAAACTGGATCTTAACTCTCTTGACAACAATGGTTGTCTCCACTGATATTTACGTCCTTCCCTCCACTGTCAAAATTTAACGTATTTTTGTTTTGTTTTTTCTCTTGCTCCTTTGTTTAGACTTTTAAAACTTTACTAAGAATCTTTTAAACATCCGGTGGTGCAAAACGCAAAGTCGTGCCTTTTTTCAGCTGGTCTTCAGTTTTTGATCAGGAGTAGAAAAAGTCACTTCTTCGACCAGTATGCTTGGCTAATGTGTATACGATCATAATACCAAGCAATCACCAGGCAGCATTAGCTTACCCTCATAACTCTTAGCATTGATTATATGCAAAATGTCATCCACTGTTGCCTTGTGTTTGTTTCAAATAAGTGCCTGCACTGCCCCAGTAAAGCACCCATAGGAGAGTAAAGGTTAACAGAAACACCAGAGCGGGTACCATTGGAAAAGGGCCAGAAACTGAAACCTCCACAGAAAAAGCAAATGTTGAAATCATTTGTCATCATCTCAGAAACATAACCAACGTGAGGAAAATGATCCAATGAAGTCTAGACATTAGAATGTAAAGTGGACTTATTGTCTGAACCAGCGCCAGCGGCCCCAGACTCCTCACCTGCTCTGGAAGTAGTTTGCTAGCTCGGATGCCTCATGGTTCAGACTCCTCAGGTGTACAATTAAATTGCCAGAGTTGGTGAACATGGCGCCGCATGTTTTGCACTCATAAATCCGCGGCTTGCGGATTATGTGTCGGGAGACCCTCATGTGGTGCTTATATTCACCGAAGGACGTGAAAGTGGCGCTACAAATCTGGCACCGGAAACAGCGTTTACCTTCGTGCTTCAGCCGATGCATCTTTAGGGAGTAGGCCCGTGTGAACTTTTTCCCACAGCGGTCACACTGGAAAGGTTTAATGCCTAGGAGAACAAGATAAAGGTGACTGAATCAGGAAAAACTCCACAGTCCTAATAAAGCTATTAAGCCTTACAGTTTCAGATTGTTTTCTTATAATCAGACAAAGCAAAAGGAGTTCGGATTTGACCTTAATATCAATCCTTCAACAGACTCAATGTCCAACATTAAAATGGTAATTGTCCCATAACTACCATAACTACCAGCAGTGGACAAAGTACTCAACAGCAGTACTTGAGCAAAAGTATTGATACTCAGAGTCAATTCTTACTCAACTACTAGTAAAAGTTACTCAGTCAAACATCACCTCAAGTTAAAAGTATTGAAGTACTCACTTTTGAGAATACTTAAGTATTAAAAAAAAGATTCAATTTTCTAATATCACCTCCACCTGTAAAGAACTTCAGCATAAAAAATAAGGACATGTATTTTGATTATTTCTTATTTGAAAACAAACCAAAAAGAAAACAGAAGAGTCTTGATTCTCACATTTACTACAGAACAGAAGTTTATGGTTGAATCTATCACCACAAAGAAACTACAGCTCTGATTTAAGGCTCATCATACTGAACAACTTTGCTACATGGCAACAACTAACGCCTTAAATAAAACATATAAACTACTAATATCTGCAATGATTTCCTCACATTTGTGGAACGTCGTTAAATCTCTAAAACAGCAGTCCTAAGTGTTGCCATCTGCCATGTTCAGATTGCATTTCAAAAAAGAAAAACAGCTACAGCAGATAACAAAGCTCAGCTGATTCAAAAGGAACTAACAACTTTCTGGGAATGTAGCGGACAAGAAAGTTATAAGAACCGCGCCAAAAAAGACTCAAGTAAAGAAACTCAAAAAATTACTGAGGTACAGTAATCAAGTACGGTGAATGTACTTTGTTACTTTCACTGATTAAATATTTGTAATAACTCATTGAAAAGGTTTTAAACCTTAAATGGCTGATTTAAGGAAGTTTAAGGGAGTTTGTCAGCCTTTGATTTTGATTTATCTCCAGACACTGACTGGGCCACTTAATGCCCTGTTGAAATGCCAAGTGAGTAAAAGTCTGATGCATTTTCACGCATCACTTAAAGGTGCAGAAGGAGATCTTGGAAAAACGGTTCCAGCAAGTTCTATTTTTGAACATACACAACCAAGCCTCTCCCTTCGAACCCCTCGAAACCACGCCTTCAAAACCACATGGATGCTGTCTGCAGCGCGTCTAGAGCAGCTGAGGCGGCACATTGCACGGAGCAATGGTGTCTGCAGTTTGAATTACGTACATAAAAAAGGCCTTCCTGCCGCGGTGAAGAACCGCGAGGAGACGACCGGGCCATAGGCTGCTGTTGAATGGGATTCCTAGTGACACGCACCGGAGGTGTACAGGGGTCTGAGCGGCTCGGACAGAAATTATATTTGCAAGATGGTAATCTGGATTAACTGTTTTCAGGTGGACTTTCTCAATTAAAAATACATTCAAGCTACTTTTTACCCGCTGATCACAGCAAATATAGCTGCCATTGTTACAGGCAAAGAAAGGATAGGGTAGCTCCGCCCAATGCGCATGAGACCCACTTTTCCCCCGCGCAGCTAGAGCAGCAAAGATGCTTCAGCCGGACGTCAGAACTAAACTTGTACAAGCATCAAAAATGAAGCAGGACGCGTGTTTTTGCTGCTCTTGGTGTGAATAGTAGGGGTGTAAATCACATCCATCATGGCGATTCGAATCAGTATCGATTTCCTGACCCAACAATTCGATTATTTTCGATACTCAAGAATACACCACGATACGATTTGATTAATTGGTTAATTTTTATTTTACACCTTACAGGCTAGACAATGTTTCAAATTTGAAACAAATCAATGAAAGCTGTAATATCGTTATGCTTTTTTTTTTTTTTTTAGAAACAACAGCAAATAACAGAAGTAGAAAAGTTTTACTCCACCTATTCGTATTAAAACCTCATTCACTGAAAAATAATTATGCCCCTGCGTTATAGATTCTGAAAGGCCTTGCATCAAAAAATACTGCACATAATCAGTGCAATGAGTGCAATGCAATACCTCGGCTCCAGACGTCCCGCC